CACCTGACCGTTTCTGTCCCTCTCTGACACCCGATAGGAGAGTGGGTGCAGAGTGAATAGAGTTTCAGTAATTTGGTGACTGGATGCTGCACTGAGGACAAGGTATATTCAGGGAGCAGAATAGAGATGTTGAGATGCAGTCAGAGGAGAGCAGATCCTCTCTTTCCTTTATCTACTCCCCCCCCCCAATTTAACTCAGAAAAATAACCTAGGAGGAAATATCCATAAATATATGCCTGACTCTATAGAAAAAAAAATTCATCAAGTCAATAATTCCAGTCATGCAAATTTATTTTTGAATGTGGGAGGGAAGAGGGTAAATTTGATGTAATTACTACATAATTTGACTTAAAAATTGAGTCCATTGAAGAGACATTTATTGAATGTGGGCACAGGCAGTAGAGAGACACCAGAGCTGTGGAAGAGCATATGATGTGGATCTAGCCATCTAGGCATTCCCAATTCTAGGATTCTTGTTGCCAAGGCTAAGGCTTGAATTTTATGTGTGAAAAAAAAAAAAGATGTGATAGTCCTTCATGACTGCTTTAAGTCAGAGCCTGGCATTTGATATGAACCCTGTTTGTCCCCTCATCTTCTTTCTGTCATCATTAAAATCTGTCATGGTGGCACATACCTGTAATGCTAGGGACATGAATAGACACCCAGGACACCCAGTAGTGCTGCTCCCAACTTCTAGAAACAGCCTTGTAAGGCTCAAGGGCTCCGCACAAACTTCAGGCTTTTATTTCAATAGAGCAGGAAGTTTTGGGGGATACTCATTTATAAACAACAACAACAACAACAACAACAACAACAACAACAACAACAACAAATGGACAAACAAAACAGCCCAGACTTGTGGGGAGAGAATTGCAGTGGAGAATATGTGCAGAGTGGGCAGGAGAGTCCTGCAGAAATCCTGTGAGGGGCATTGGTGGCTTGGTGGAATTGGGGAATATAGGATCCCAGTTTATCTCTGTCAGTGTGGTAGGTGCATGGTGACTTGGTGTTTTAATCTGCATATCGTCATCATAAACATGTTTTTCTATATGTTTTAGCAATTAACTCTGTTAGGGAATTAACATGCTTGCCATGCTAACACAGGGAGAACAGCCCAGATCTCCCTTGGCTCTTGTGGAGGGAGAGGAATGAAGTGATTTAAGGCATATTTGAAGGTAGAATTGATAGGTGTTGGGGAATAATTGGCCAGGGCCAGTGTGACATGCAGGATGGTGTCAAAACAGCTATCCGGGACTCTGGTGGAAGCAATTAGGAGACAGTGCTGTGATTGAACATGCTCGAAGAAGGCTCACAACAGCAGCCTCTGCAACTGTAATAATAAGGGAAAAGACAAATGACCAATCCTTTTGTACCAACACAGAGGATCTAGCACCTACTCAGAAATGGATATAGGGCAGCAATCATGTTAACTCCCCAACAAAGTTAATTGCTAAGACATGTAGAAAATCATGTTTACATTGAAGATATGCAGATTAAAATACCAAGGGACCATGCACCTACCACACAGACAGAGGTAAACCAGGATCCTAATGTTTAATATTGTCAAGAGCAAGAGGAGCTGGTGTGAGCATGGGCTGCTGGTAGAGATTAAAGTTGATGTATTCTTTTGGGGGGCGCATTTACACATTTTAAAAAATGTTCAGCAGCATAGCCTAAGTATATAATCAGACTGCCATGTGAGAAATATGTATGAAATATTAATTAGCAAAAAAATTGGAACGCTTATACCTGCATCAGTGGGGGATTAATTACCTATCTATATAGACATTTTACAGTATGCTATTTTACTAAGTTGAAAAGACATTAAAGTCAGTGTACGTGGTGTGACCCTGCTTTGTAAAACACCTGAACACATACTATGTCTACATCTGTTTCTCAGTATCCTTATAGAAAGGCTGGAGGGGCCTGGATCTAAATTGATACTGCCAGGTGGTAGGACCTGTTGAAAATATTTAGCGTATTCTGGTAAATAAAAAATGACTTAAAAGAGAAACGATCTATGACTGCAATATCACAGACTATAATAATTGACTGGTTCTGATGTGGATTGGTGGGCAGAGGACTCCAGAGAGAGGGGTTGTTGGACTGGGGGAAACTGATCAGGGCTATGTGCCATTGCTGCCTTTGACAAGTCCTCCTTGAAGGATTGAGAACTTTCACCAAAGCAGGCTAAGCTTCTTCTACAGGCCTTTTCACCTTTTTACTCTCTTCTCATAAAAAATTCACGCCAATTAATTTTAAACCGATGACAGTAAGTGGGAACTTAGACTTCTAACAAGCCCTCTCCACAGCCTCATCAGCCAGAGTTCAGCACAGCCCCTTGGTGGCTGCGGTTCCGTCCTCCTTTCCAGTAACAGTGGAGTCCTGCAGGTTATATGACAGGCCCTTTCTATTCCCTTGGTTACTATCTTGGATCTTTGAATAAAGAATCACTTTCAGTCACATGTTTCGAAGCCTGGATGCTTCTTGCTAAAGTGCCCTGTTTGGGATCTTAAATAGCTATTGATAGGATCGCGTCACTTTATGGAAACGCTGACGATGTTACAGAATGGGCTGAGCCTGCCTTGACTTGGAAATAGAACTTAATTAGTGGCCAAATGCCAGGGAGATATAGATTGGAGCTCGGAGAACAGGCTGCAGGAGATGGAGTAAGTAAATTCACAGGGCACTGGATTGGACATGGCAAGTCCTGGCTTCTTCGGCTGCTGCTATACGACCTTGGGAAACTTTTGTGATGTAACAAAGTGTAAAGTTCTCTTGTTAGTTTAGCTTTAAAATGAGATAGCTCTAAGTTCTGAGGCCGCAGAACAGCCAGGGGCCAAATGCAAGCATCCCCCCCCCCAAGTGGTAGATGGATGAAAATTTTAGACTTCCAAAGTTACATATTCTAATGAGATCTGGGCAGATATGTGACGTAGACAGCACCTGAACCCTGGCGGTTCGTAGGCATGTGTGTGTACAACAGCTACTATGATGACTCTTTTGCATTGTCAGCAGCCCTTTTACAGTTATAGACCCCATCTTTGTCACAAGGTTGCTTTTTATTGGACCACTGAGAGAAGGGCAAGAAATAAACAGCTGCAGGAACTCCTTTTATAAATCCCTTTAAAATGAAGTTAAGGGCCAGGGAGATGGCTCTGTAGGTAAATTCACCTGTCAGCAAACCCAATGTCCTGGGTTTAGTTTCTGAACCCACATGGTGGAAAGAGAGAACCAGTACCCACAAGTTGTCCTCTGGCTTCCACCTGTGTACTGTCACATGGCCCACCCCCACATGCCCATGAAATAAATACCTAAAATGTAAAGTAACAGAAACTCTGAAAATTAAGTGAAGCAAAGAATAAAAGTGAATTGAACTTGAAAAGTTGGTAAGTTATGGTATAAATGACACACAGATATGGAAAACAAAAGTGATGGCGGCTTGCAGGGACCGCAGCAGACCTAGGATGGATTGCCAGCCAGGCTGAACTGGCCTTCTCACTTGTGAAAATTTCCCAGTGTGGTTGTGAGGATCATGAGATCATATCTGCAAGTAGTGTCAGCTCAGCAGCTGTCACATAGTAGGGGCACAGATGGACGGGTTTCCTTTTCTTTCCCTTGGCCTCTTGTTTCTAATCTGAAAGCACTATCTGTAAGTGGCTGGCTGACCTGCCTCCCTTACTTCCCAGACGAGGTGGTCAACTGAAGGTGAGGGTGAGTCCAGTGGCCAGACTTGCCCACCCTGCACTCCAGTGGACCCAGTGTAGCCAGTACTACTGCCAGAGACCAGAGCACAAGCCTTCAAAGTGCTCGGAGACAGGGACTCGAGGGATGAGGCTGAGATAGTAGAAGAAGGGCAGCAGTCCTGGTCTAACACTGGGGACAAGAAAAGGAGGACTCATCGTGTGATGAGTCCTTTAGATTTCATGTTATATTGTCCTCCTATGAGAAATGGTAAACTATATACCTGGGAGAAAAATGATTGTAAGAATGATTCACAAACGGGGCTGCAGAGATGGCTCAGCCATTAGGAACTCTTCCCCACCTCTTCTAGACGACCTAGGTTTCAGTTCCCACCACTGTGTTGGATGTCCCACAACCACTGTAACTCCCACTCCAAGGGACCTGATGGCTGCTTCTGGCCTCCAAGGGCCCCTCACACACACAGTAATTACTCACACAAATATACATTAATAAAAATTTAAAAATAAATATTAAAAAATTATCCACATAATAAAAGAGAGAGTATGAGATAGTTCTCTCTGTGATCTTTCTTACAGTGTCCCTAGCATTGCATGTTGGCATCTATGAAAATCAAAAGTGTGCCAAAATGATTGGAATGCTGAATTTTCCATACTGAGATATAAATGTAACCAGAGTTACACTGTCCTGCCCAGTCCCACAGCTGCTTTTAAAATAATCACTTAGAGGCTTAATATTAATTGTAAATGATAGGCAGGTAGTTCAGGCTTGTTACTAACTAGCTCTTGCACTTAAATTAACCCATATTTTTATTTATGCTTTGTCATGTGGCTTGTGACTTTTTACTTCATTTTTTACACATCCTGCTTGCTCTATAGCTGGCTGGCATCTCCTCAACTCTGCCCTCCTTCTTCCCAGCATTCTCACTTTGGCTGTCCTGCCTAACTTCATGCCCAGCTACTAACCAATCAATGTTTTATTAAACTAGTTTGAGTGATAAATCTTTTTAGTATACAAGAGGATTATTCCACAGCATTTCAGCCATTTAGAATTAGAATTTGCACTACATATAAGTACTGCTGTGTTATGCTTGACACAGAACCATCATCCAACTTAATATTTTTTTGTGCTTATATTTCATTTTGTGAATAGTTCCCTGATGACCCCTGAGCATCAGAAACATCTCCTATTCCATGGGCTAGTGAGTAGGTGGCAGGCAGTGTTAGGTGTGGAATTTGTGATGCCTATGAGTGCAGAGGACACCCAGGGTTCATTGTGGTTGTCTTCTTGTTTTGCAGATGGACAATCTGAGGCTGAGAGGGGGCTAGTGATTTCTCGGACACTTGGGCAGTAGGTAAGTTATGATGCTGCATTGGGCCTGAATCAAGGTTACCAGGGCTTCAGCTCTGCAAGCACATGCACTCCAGTCTCCTGACTTTTCCGTTTTGTGCAAAAGTAAGAAAATGAATCAATCTGGTTTGAAGTGTTTGGATATTAACTGAGTGGTGATTTTATCTGTGTTTTATTGCCGTGATCTGGTTCAGCTTTTGAGGAGGCAAGTTTGTGCAGATCTCTTGGGCCCATGTTAGGCCTTTCCTCAGGATGGTAGGACTCATTAGAACCTGACTGGTGTGCCACTCATGGTCTGCCTCTTTGGTAGACCTGAATGTTTTGTGTAATCAGGAGTCAGTGGATCTGTTCTTGGGTCCTGCAACAACCTATTCTGTGACTTTCAGCAAATCATTTCACCCCTCATCTTCAGATATGTTCATTTTCAGTGATTCTTTTGAACTGTTTTTCATCAGAATATCAGGCTTCAGCTCTGTGCTGGACACAGAATGACAAGTTAATATGGAGTAGGCTGTGTCTATGGGATATTAGCCTCCCCTTCCATCATTATCGTTTCATAGAAACTTCTAACACACGCTTTGGAGCTCATGGTTATAGTGATTTTGTGATTGATATATTTGTTGTAGAATGGAACACCATCGGTGAGTGTTATTTGGCACAGATGGTAAATTTATGAATGAGAAAGTGCCATGGATGTGCTTGAGACACAGATTAATGCCAAGGCATTTCTGATCTCAATGAACTTCCCTCCAGGGGTTTCGTCTCATGGATGAGAATTACTTAGAAATTCTTTGGTGGTTTCATACATGTATATAATGAAATTTAGTTGTGAATGAACATTTTAAACTTATTCCTTAGCAGAAAGGATGGTGCTGGGGGAAGTGGACATCAAGCTCGGCCCTATGCCCATGCGTGGATATTTTCTGCATAGAGTTTTGTTGTTGTTGTTGTTGTTGTTGTTGTTGTTGTTTGTTTTGTTTTGTTTTTGTTGTTGTTTCCCCGTGTCTAAGTCTTTATTTTGCAGAAAGCAGTGCCTTCCCTTCCGGGAGTGAAGATAGTTGTGAGCTCTGGGCAAGCTGGTAGGTAACCAGAGTGAAACCTGCCCAGGGCCAGGGCCATTGCCTCCAAGTGGCTGAGATTTTACATATCAGAGAGACTCTGCCAAGGGCCGTGGGGCACACTCCCCTTGTTGTGCAGTGACCCTGCTGAAGGCTGCTGCTTCCCAGAGCTTAATGGCTGCAGATTCTAAAGCAGGCTCTGAGCTCTGCCTTTGCAGACCCTTGCCTCGGGCACTGCATGGAAAGTGCTAAGGATTAGAGGCTGGGCTATTTGTTTATATGGAGGACAACTTCTGGTAGTTGAAGCTCTTGGGCCCCTTCAAAGTCCACAATTTCAAAGGGTGCATGAATAACCTCAGGCCCAACCTGGTATTTCTATTTGAGTGTGTGTGGGGGGTGGCTGGTGGTCCTATTTAATGGAGAAGACACACATTGTTGGTTAAGGGGGAAAGGGGGGAGGGAGAGGAAGAGGATGAGAAAAAGAAAACACCCGTGTGTGTGTGTGTGTGTGTGTGTGTGTGTGTGTGTGTGTGTACAATACTTAGAAAGCAATTCTTACAAGAAAAAAATATATATCCAGCAGGGCTCTGAAATGGGCTCAAAATGATTTATTTTAATTTTTTGTTCATGTGTCTCTATTAGTGTATGCCACATGTGTGTAAGCATCAGCCTCTGCTGGAAAGGCCATTGGATTCCCTGAAAGCTGGTGTTGTAGGTGTTTGTGGTGTGGGTGCTGGGGACTCAGTGTGGGTCCTATGGAAGAGCAGTAAGCACTCTTAGAACTGAGCCATCTCTCCAGACCCCAGAATGGCTCTGAACAAGCCTTATCAACCTCTCTGATGACAAGGGGAGGCCAGCTCTCCCTTCCTCCTGGCTAGAATTACCCAGATCTCCCTTACCTTCTTTTTTGGAGTCAACTACAAAATTTTGCTTCTTACACTAATCTCTCTGTGGCAGGCACACACACACCCCTCCACACACACACACACCCTTTACAGTACCCCTTCCCTTCAGGGCTGTGATCTCTCCCTCCACCTGTCTCACTCGGCACTAACAAAGCAGGTGACTGCCTGGCCTGACAGGTGATAGCTGCCATGCTCCTGGAACCTCATCCCCTGATGTTCAATGTTGTCCCAGCACGAATCTTTGGGGTCTTTGTTCAGCAGTTGCTCTGAGGTTGGAATTCGTGGACGGCTTCCTTTCTTTGCAGGTCACTTTCAGCTGCAGACAGCCAGCAGGGCAAAGCCTTTCCTTGCCAGGTAGGGTTTCCCTCCATCCCAAACAGGGCAAGGGGAAGGCCTGTTGAAAGGCAGACTTGGCTCTCCATTGTGAGCACTCTGCCAGGTCTCCTGAGCAGAGCCCATTCCCAGAGCGATTATCTTTCCTGCATGAGAAGCAGGTGCTTGGTGACAGGAAGCAAGGCAGGCTTAGCAACAGACTTATCAGGCTCTCTACAAGAATGTCGTCCCTGTAAACAGGTCTGAGTCTGTGTTGTTTTGTTTCTCTCACCTGCTCAGTTGATGGGCCGGTGCGGTGCGATGCGCTCTAATCTGCACAGCTCTGCTGCAGAGGTAATCAGTCCCTGCAATGTCAGGTTCTGTCTGAAGTACTCCTGCTTATCCCCACAGTACTCTGAAAGGGACTAGGCCAGACAGGTTGTGGTCTCCAGAGAAGCTTCTGACTCCCTCCAGGAAGCCCCGCAGAGTATGTATGCGCATGCATGCGTGCGTGAGCGCATGCATACAGGTGTGCGTGCATGTGTGTGTGTGTGTGTGTGTGTGTGTGTGTGTGTGTGTATGTATGTATGTATGTATGTATGTATGTTTCTGCACTTTAGTTCTAACTTGGCCTTCTATTCACCAAATCTACTCAATCTCTTTGCACAGGCTGTTGCATACTGGTCTTGAAAGTGTGCCTTGTCTGTGGCTGCCTAGCCAGAGGACAGAGATGTGCTGGGGTCAGATAAGATGCCTGTTCCTTATATTGATCTTCCCAAGGCAGCTTCCCCCTCACATACTCTGTAGCCCCCTCTCCCTCCACGGCTGTGACTTCTCCACTTGCCATGCTCATAAGGGACAAAGCTGGTGTCTGGATTGACAGGAGCGGGCTGCTCTGTGCCTGAAACTCTAACTCCTGGTGCCTCACGTTGTCCTAGCAGGAAACTTAAGAGTCTGCTTAGGTGGTGGATCTATCTCTTTCAGCCTCAGTTTCCTCATTTTTTTAAAATGAAGGGCAAATTGCTGATAATCCTTAAGGTACACCTGACAGATATATAATAGCCACCATTAGTGCCTGTCACAGAAGCAGCAGGAGTGGGGTGTCAGTATTGACAGTGCATCATTTTTATAGAACTTTATATTCTCCAAGGTCCTTTTACGTTTGATCCTTCAACAACCCCACAAAAGAAACAAGACCAGGACAGTTCTCCTGACTGGAGATAAGGAGACTGAGATCATGAGAAAGGTGATGGGAGTTTTCTTCAGTCAGGTGCTGAAGGCCCGAGTGGAGCCAGCAAGAGCCTTGTAGCCTTGTAGAGGTGGGGTGTAAACCTTGGGTGTCTGGGAGAGCCTAGAGTGCCCAGCTTCTCCTGGAGCTCAGACCACTTTTCCCCTGTCCTCCCACCCCCACCACCCTGTGTCCTATTTATTTGAAACCTTCTGCCTGATTCTTGTCAACTGCTTCATCTGTGGGTCTAGCTTGTAGTTCCCAGGGCTGACATCTTTGAGCTACAATGGGCTCCAAACCAGAAGAGCCACCGAGCATCAATCCTGCCACACACCCCGGTGCCCTGTTGCCTGCCTTCAGATTTACCCAGACACACAGTCCAGGGCTGGGAGAGCACAGCCACTCAGTGGCACCTTCCCCATGCATTCCTGAATGTTCTTGCTGCCAAGGCTTATTCTACCCCCTAGCCAATGGACATTAATTAATATCAACAAGACCCTCTGGTGACTTACTATGTACAATGTGTATGTGTATTTTCTAACTTTTTTCAAGATGAGATAACTCCATTTCAAAAAAGTTAGTGAATGAGGCCAAGATTACACAAGTATCTGGCAATAATTCTGAAATTTGTATCCAGGTATTTAGACTAGAAGCCGTAAACACGGGCCTTATATGAAGCATGTAGCATACAATACCTAGCCCAAATGGGGTGTCACTGACTGGTGCTGGTTCTTTTAAAAATAATGCTGCATTCTAACCCTCGGTTGTCTGTGGTCTTCTTCCATTGGATGGTGAGGTTCCCTGAGGTAGCAACTGGAAGCCTCAGCCTCAGCAGGCACAGGGTCTGCGGCAACTGAGGTATACAGGATGGAATGATCAACAGTGTTAGTAGTAAGTTATTGACTGTGTGCTAACTGTGCACAACACTAAGGGCCCTATGTGTCACTTAGGGATGAGATGAGCACCGAGAACTGTGAGTGAGGTGAGGTGACTTCTTCATTGTGTAGCCACTCTTAGTATGGACTCTTTCTAAATGGTACAGGGTTTGGTCACTCCATGTGGCCTCTTGATGCACTCAGGTATATAATTAGCATAGATATGTGAGTCTGGTGCTGATATAACTTGGCATACTGTTTGTACTAGACTAAACTGTTTGTACTAAACTGGCACTCAGGGTTATTCTATTGTAGTAAGTAGAAGTGTGTTCTAAAAGTATGATAAAAAAAATACTAGATCATAAATTTACACAGTAGCTTGCTATCGCTATCAAGTAGTGTATACTGTAAGCAACACACATGCTACACTTTCATACCTCTGGCAGTGCAATAGCTTGCTTACATTAGCATCACCATACTCATATGAATAACACATTGAACTCTACCATGATAATGGTGTTACTGCAAAGCAGTAAGAATTCTATCAGCTCAGTTATAATCTCAGGAGACTGCTATTGCGTATGTGATCTGTTATTGAGCCAAACATCCCGGTGTGACATATGACT